GGAGGGAGGGAGGAGGTATGAGCTCTATGCTCCAAGGAGGAGGGTCACAAGAGGCCTGGAGGTTGAGATTGCTAGGAGTCATAGGCAGATAAGATATAAGACCAGCACACAGGCTGCTAGGCAGGCAGCTTCCTATAGGTACTCAGGTACACACCAGCACACATGGTTGCACATAGGTAGGCATAGATACACACGAAGACTGACATACAAGCTGCAGGGAGTAGGCACACAGGCCTACAGACAGTCACACATAGGCGGCTGATGAAGGCAAAGGCAAGACTATATTTGTACAGAATCACACAAAAGTGGCATTCTGCCAAAATAGTTACATAACAGAGTACAAAACTGTTTACTTTTGGGGCCTCTGGACATATGATGTCAGCCATTTGGTGCTGACTCTGTAGCCTGACCCCGTCCCATGTCCAGCATCTACCATGTTTTAGCTGACTAAATACCAGATATTCATATCAGCTCCATGTTGTCTAAACACAGACTGGCACTTATGGCTTTGTAACAGAAGGAAAGTCTTAAATTCACAACTTAAAAAAAATGTAGAAATTCTTATCTCTGATAAATTATCTACAGAAATTTTTGCAAAAGATTTCATTCCTGCTAAATTATTTTCATTTCAGTATATACATGTGGCAAGTAGATCTCACTTCTCCATAAACTGTAGCTTTTTTCTTTGCTACCAAAGGATCTTATTTCCAACATATGTTTGCCCCTATTTTATTCATATTCCAGTTAAGAGTTTACTTGTCTGTATATTTTCTGGAAGTTTTCTTTAAAACATCCCTGTGTTGATTTCAGGACCTAACACATATGGGTGGTATGCACAAATATGTGGTTGAGTTTCATTATGTGTCCAGGAACATTTCATAATTTTGAAATTACCTCCTGGTAAGAGGAAGAGACTCCAAATTTTGTCTCTTTCTATTCCTCTACTAAAATGTCTCTTGATTACTTTAATATCTTTATCTGAGGAGAGTTTGATGGGCTATTAAATTTGGGTAGAGCAAATATATATGATAAAATGTCATATCCTGTTTTTAATATAATTCTCTCATTTGCTTTTTAAAAAAAACAGGAACTTAGCTTGGAACAAAATTGCCATTATTCATCCCAATGCATTTTCTACTTTGCCATCTCTAATAAAGCTGTGAGTATTTCATTATTTGTTTATGGGATGTATTTCAGAAATTGGGGGCTTCATAGTTAATAAAAATATTGGTTTTGCTGAAGATGCTCACAATGCACAGTGTGCTGTGTTCTCCAAGCCTAGAGCTGCATCCCAGCCAGGGAGGAGCTGCATTGCTTCTCCAGGGCCACATGAGCCCCTAAGTGGATAATTCTAGATCTGAGTGATGTCTGTTTCTGGTTATTCAGGTGAACTTGTCCATTTTTGCTGAGTAATCAGGCAGAATGGAGTAAGATGACAAATTATTTCTAAATGGCTTCTGTTTTATTGTTCCCTACCACAACTGATAAAAACATCTTCCTGTTCTCTTTTTCCCATCCCCTCTCCATCTCCCTCTCTCTTATCTAGTAGAGAAACAAGAAATTCATCAAACAGAAGTAAGGCAGTGGAAGGGAATAACACTGCCCCCCAAAAAAAACTTTTTACCTGTCATTCCTATCACTTTTCAAATAAATGTACTATTTCCACATGATTTTAGATGTCCCTACTTGACAGAATAAAACTAACCCAAGTGGTGTGGTGGTGCACGCCTTTAATCCCAGCACTTGGGAGGCAGAGGCAGGTCGATCTTTGTGAGTTCAAGGCCAGCCTGGTCTACATAGTGCATTCCAGGACAGCTGGGGCTACAGGGAGACCCTGTCTCAAAAACAGCAGAAAAAAAAATTTTTTTAAAGACATTTAAAACTTTTCTCCTTGCTGTTCTGATTGTAAATAGAAAAGCTATCAAAAACTAATACCAAAATGGCTAGTTTTGCCATTAAGAGTAAGGACTCTGCTTAGAAGTTTTTATTGGACAGTTTAATCATCTTTAGGGTGCTTTTTAAACATAAACATGTTATGCTAACACAGACTCCTAAAAGCCAATTGTCATTTGATGTTTTGCAGGGACCTATCGTCCAACCTCCTGTCGTCTTTCCCTATAACTGGGTTACATGGTTTAACTCACTTAAAATTAACAGGAAATCATGCCTTACAGAGCTTGATATCATCTGAAAACTTTCCAGAGCTCAAGTGAGTTTGTCATTAAAACTAATAAGATACATTTGTGGTCATGTGGAATAATAGACATGTTATAGCGGTTTTCTAAATTTACGAGGTCATGAGACCCTTTTGAATTGCATTCCATGCCCTGAAGTCCCCCACCCCTGGAACATTGTTAGGACAATCCCTGAAGTGGGAGACTGTGTCTTCCTGAGCACATTTCCTTTCTCGCTCAAAGATACCTCCTAGAATCACATAGTTCATGGAAAGAGTTTGAAAATCATTGATCCATGGGGTATAAACTAGGCCATGTAATTAAATGACATTATAACATTACTGCACTCCTGTTCACAATTTTTAATTCATCTAGCTTGCATGTGTTGTAATAAAAATGTACTAAATTAGTATTTGTTTGAGGGAGTAGTGCTCTTTAAAACCTGTTATGCTTATTAACAATAAATATTAACAATAAAGAAGTATCTTAAAGGATATAAATATATGTATATCTTAAACCACAATGCATTCTACATACTTTTAAAACTATGAAAGTAATATAACCTACAGCCTCAAAAGACAGTACAGAAAAGAGAAAAATATCTTTTCAAACATTTTTACACTGCTTCTTCTAGGCTTTGCTTCATATCATTTACATTATCAGAATCAAAGTAAACATAAAAATTGATGGCATGTTTTAGTAGCTTAACATTTTATCATAATATTACCATAATTATCCTACAATTCATCTTTAAATAATTTTTATGGAAATTTTCCATCATTTAAATCCTAGTGCTCAGCTTTCACACTTATAGACATCTCATGGTAATAATGTTAATAACTGCTGTTATAAGTAGTGCTATAATGAACATCTTTATGCAAATAGCTTGAACTCCCCAGGTAGGATAATTAGATGAAAAAAGACAAGCTCTATATTTAATGACGCATCTCTTTAAGTGTGTGGTTTTTGTTTTTCTCTCTTTAAAGGGTTATTGAAATGCCTTATGCTTACCAGTGTTGTACATTTGGGGGGTGTGAGAATGTCTATAAAATTTCAAATCAATGGAATAAAGATAACAGCAGTGTGGATGACCTTAATAAGAAAGATGCTGGGATATTTCAAGTTCAAGGTAAGAACTACTATACCATGATTTGGAAATTGTGACAGAAAGCGTCTTGAAAATCATCCAATAGATCATCTGAAGTCCAAGAGTCCCTGTGTAATCCACCTCAACAAGTGGGGAATCAGTATCATGTTGCAAAGACTCACAAAGAAAGATTTAGGATTGTTACCTATTCTGTTGGTGAATTCTTAGCATTTTTATTTATAATTAGATCATCCTTAGCATACATGGTCTGCAAAGGTGATTACTGATATCAATATTTCCATACATTTTTAAGAGAATCCCATCCTTGTGTATACTTTTTTCAGAAATCCTTCTGAACTCCTTTCCCTGGAAAAGAAAAATTCATGCTTATTTTTCTGGTCTGGAGAGAGTGGAGGATGTGTAGAGATTTTAAATACCTCCATATTCCAGCAAAAGGGCCTAAGAATTCAGCTTCTCAACCAACTAATTCTCAATAAATCATTCTCTTTTAGATCCCCACAGGGGTATCTGTCAGGAAGGTGAAATGAGATCATGTCTGTAAGGCCTTTGGCTTTTCTTGAAGTAAGACATTACTTAAACAGACAGCAATGCATCTCCACCACACCTGTGGTAATGAAGAGGCGCCTTGGGCAGCACCCCCTCCTTTCCCTGCCAAGACTGCGAGTTTGCACAAGGTCTAACAGAATGGCTTCTGTTCTTTGGTCCTTAATGATTTGTTGATTCCAAAGAAAGTATGATTCAGCCTGTCTGCAGGTTGCCTTAACCTTTCCTCATGCATTTCTCTTTTTTTTTTTTTTTTTTTTTTTGAGACAGGGTCTCCCTGTAGCCCCAGCTGGCCTGGAACTCACTATGTAGACCAGGCTGGCCTTGAACTCACAGAGATCCGCCTGCCTCTGTCTCTGCCTCTGAGATTAAAGGCATGCGCCACCATCCTGGTTTCCTCACGCACTTCGATTTAAGGAGTCAGTATTCTTGGTTGTTTGTTTCAGGCCTTAGCACTTATCTTTCTCTTGTTCTTTAGTTTTTATTCTCAACAACTCTAAATTCTTCTGTATTTATTTACTATAAATTAAATTTAAAAAACAGTCCGTTATGTTCAGATATGGCATCAACCCCTGGAATTACATAATAGAGCTAAGATCCTTCATGGAATTAATTATTTATTTTCATTTTCTTTCTTTCTCTTTCTTTCTTTCTTTCTTTCTTTCTTTCTTTCTTTTTGTGCATGTGGCCCCAGGCTGGGCACAGCCCCACCCCCCACCCCACCCCCACCCCTGAGAAGGGATAGAATTTATTTTCAAAACCAGTAATTCTCAACTCTGAGCCACATATTAGAGTAACACCAAGGCTCCTAAAATATACTGATGTCGGGGCTGGGGAGATGCTCAGTGGGTGCTTGGTACACAAGCATGAGGATCTGAATGTGGACCCCCCAATACCCATGTTAAAAATAAAGCCAGCTTGTACCTGTAATTCTAGCACTGCAGGACATGGACAGGTAGATCCCCAGAGCTAGATGGTCAGCCTCACAGATCCCCAGAGCTCTCTGGTGAGCTTTGAGCATGCTAAACAAATATTCTACCACTGACCTGTATCCCCAGTCCTTAGAGAATTAAATAAAACGGTTCCTGTACTGGATTTAGATCTGTGCAGTTTAGGGCCATCACAAGCTCTAGGGAAAAACAGGATCAAAGAGCTTGGGTATTCTAACCTCAAATATAGACTTTCTCCCTTACTATCACCTATGCCAGACATTGCCATGGTAGGTTGAGTAGAACATGGACAATGAACTTTTTTAACTGACCTGCAAGAAAGCCTTGCCTTCACTTCTCTTCTTGACAATTCATGTCTTGAGGGCAGCCCTAGTGTCTCTTCATGGGTTCCCTTGAATAGAAAGACAAAACTAATCATTCCAGAGTTCTCATTCCTGCAGATGAGCGTGACCTTGAAGATTTCCTGCTTGACTTTGAGGAAGACCTGAAAGCCTTTCATTCAGTGCAGTGTTCACCTTCTCCAGGTGAGAAAGACATCAAAACTGCCTTGACAGTAAGGGCTACTGTGGACTCAGAGGCTGGTATAGCACTGTGGTTGCACGAGCAAAATGTATGCCATCCTTTGGCTCATCAGTGTCCCTGCCAATGGGAGCTTATAAAATACAAATAAGCATTCATTCCCTGGAGTTGTTCTCCACTCACAAAGGAAACTTCTGTGGAGAACTGTTGATTCAGTTTAATACAAACTAAAGAGTAAGCACATAATTAAAGGTTTATATGATTTAAAAACAACATTGCTATTTACCATGGAATAGTATGATGCAGTCTTACTTTGCTTGTAATATATATATATTTCTTTTTTAGTCTTTTTGAAACAGTGTCTCCCTGTAGCCCCAGCTGTCCTGGAACTCACTATGTAGACCAAGCTGGCCTTGAACTCACAGAGATCCACCTGCCTCTGCCTCCCAAGTGTTGAGATTAAAGGCATGTGCCACCACGCCCAGCCCGTAATCACTATATTTTGCAGATGATTTAGTTCTCTACAGATAACTATTTAGAAGCTGGGGATGTAGCTCAGGCATAAAGTACTTGCTTAGCACACTGAAGACTCTGGCCTCTATACCCAGCACCACACACACACACACACACACAAATGTTTTAAGGTGAAAAGTAAATATTTTGTGAAAGCAAATAATAGTTCATACATAAGAGTAAAAAATATTCATTAAATTGTCCCATTCGTAGAAATAAGATGGGAAATGGGGGGGTGATAAATATTTCATTTTCAATAAATAAGTATTCCTTGCTCCCTGGCACCAAATGTCAATCAGAACTGAGGTAAGATTCCATGAAATGTGTATTCCTACTACCCATGCTTCATGTCTAATGGACTATGGAGCCCATTGGGGCATTCTGAAGATCTTAAAGAAGTCCAAGAGAGCTGGCTTTTCACTTGGTCCCAACACTGCTGTATCTTAGAACTGAAGTTCCCCATTTTCATTTCCCTATATATATTCCTGGGACCACAAGAAACTGTGCACCAGTGGGTCAGTGCTACAGAAACTCCAAGGTAGTCCTCACACTGGTTTGAGAAAGTGGAGCAAGCCACGTGGGTACTGTGGGTTACAATGACTTGAGTGACACTGTCTCGACAAATTGGCAAAAGCTGTCAACCCTATTTGACAGTCTTTCTCTTCCTTCCCGGTTCAGGTCCCTTCAAGCCCTGTGAGCACCTATTTGGTAGCTGGTTGCTCAGAATCGGAGTGTGGACCATAGCAGTTTTGGCACTTTCTTGTAATGCCTTGGTGATTTCAACGGTATTCAGAAGCCCTCTGTACATTTCTTCCATAAAACTATTAATTGGGGTAATTGCGGTGGTGAATATGCTCACAGGGGTCTCCAGTGCGGTGCTGGCTGCTGTGGACACATTCACTTTTGGCAGCTTTGCACAACATGGTGCATGGTGGGAAAATGGGATTGGTTGTCAAATCATTGGTTTCTTGTCCATTTTTGCTTCGGAATCATCTGTTTTCATGCTCACTCTGGCAGCCCTGGAGCGTGGGATTTCTGTCAAGTGTTCTTCAAAGTTTGAAATGAAAACTCCCTTTTCTAGCCTGAAAGTGATCGTTTTGCTCTGTGTCCTGTTGGCCCTGACCATTGCCACAGTCCCTTTGTTGGGTGGCAGTGAGTACAATGCCTCCCCACTCTGCCTACCCCTACCCTTTGGGGAGCCCAGCACGCCAGGTTACATGGTGGCTCTCGTCTTGCTCAACTCCCTTTGCTTCCTCATAATGACTGTTGCCTACACCAAGCTCTACTGCAATTTGGAGAAGGGAGACCTGGAGAATATTTGGGACTGTTCTATGGTGAAACACATCGCCCTATTGCTCTTCACCAACTGTATCCTTTACTGCCCTGTGGCTTTCTTATCCTTTTCCTCTTTGCTAAACCTCACATTTATCAGTCCTGAAGTAATTAAGTTTATACTTCTAGTGATTGTCCCACTTCCCGCATGTCTCAATCCCCTTCTCTACATCCTCTTCAATCCTCACTTTAAGGAGGATCTGGACAGCCTAGGAAAGCAAACCCATTTCTGGACAAGATCAAAACACCCAAGTCTGCTATCTATTAACTCTGATGATGTCGAGAAACAGTCTTGTGACTCAACCCAGGCCTTGGTAGCCTTTACCCATGCCAGCATAGCCTATGACCTGCCTTCCAATTCTGGGTCATCACCAGCTTATCCAATGACCGAAAGCTGTCACCTTTCTTCGGTAGACTTTGTCCCATGTCTTTAGTTAATATGTGAGAGGAAAAGTTTTCAAAAGTTGGACACCTGAAAATGTGAGATTGAAGACATCAGAGCAACAGCTAAGAAGAGCTGAGCTGAAATCTACTTTAAAACCCAATAAACATCTCTAAGTCAATGTGGAAAAGGCTGGTGATACCTACTGATACTTGAGAGTGACATATACGTCTAAAAGCTGCTTGTATGATTTGTTCAGCCAGAAGTAAATCTGCCAAGTTACTTAGGCGAGCCCAGGTCAAAAAAGCAAATTGAAATGTTTTTTAAAAATAAATTTGGTTTTAGTTACATTCTCTTTAAACTCACCAACATAATCTAACTCGTGTTGGGAGAATTCGTTTGATGACAAAATGGGAGTAGTTAAATCTCCAAGTTCCTCAAAAGATGATTAGAAGTATAAGGAAAAATAAAAAATTTAATAGGATACATTACCCATAGGCCTTCATTTTAATGGCCCCATGGAGATATTTTCATCTTCTTTTTTCTTTTGTCAAAAGAGTCTGTCCAAGTCACCAATTTCTTGGATAGATAATGTAAGACATTGTTAACTCACTCATACATAATTTTAGGAGCTACTGGGTTTTATAAATAAGCATTCAATGCTTCCACCCTCAATGGAATAAAACTAGCTACAGATATTTTGAAAGGAAAATTCACAAAAATTCTTAAATTGTTGTTAAGGCAATCATATACAGGTGAAATTTGTCTTATCTAATTCATTTCTAAATTCCTGGTATCCAAAGCTCAGAAAGTTCATTGCCGGCAATGGACCTACCTAGAAAAGATAGGAAGCACTTGTGGGATTTTGTTTCCAAGTGGGTGCACAGTTTTTGCAAGAGATTTTATCATTGACTTAAATGGTTATGCGTCTTAAGATAATCAAATGCAAACGCAGCATAAGTCCACTATGCAATGTCACACAGCTCTCTCTAATAACTCTAGCAGCAATGTCTGGCAATACTTGGGACTCAACAGAAGCTGGGTAAAGTGTTATTCTGTCTATTTAGCTTGGTTTTAGCTATGTCCTTTTTGGAGCAAGCACTTAATATGAGAAACATTATTTCTTTGCTTATTCATATTACCACAGGTGTTAAATATTTTAAGACACAAACTATTAAATATTAAAAGTCAAAGGGTTAATTCATATCTTCTGTGATCCTACATTAGCTTCATTGCACCCAAACCAAAAGACTGTTAAGGTAGATTTATTTTTATATAAGCATGTTTTATTTTGATCAGATGTTTTAACTTGGAATTTTTAAAAATACATTTATGAGATGTTTTATAAGATATGTACATATAGAACTGTATTTATTACTACAGTAAAGATTCAGTGACATTAAAGAACATGATAATAAACCATGTACAGTGACATATTCTTCTTATATATTGTTTCTCTGTCCATTTTCTTTAACTCCATTAGTTGTAAATAATATATGTATATATATAGTACTTGTAAATAGATTCCAAATTTGCTTTTCTATTGGGCATAAAATAAATTTGTAATAAAATGTGTAACTGCAAAACAAAATGTTTTCAAGTCTATTTATTGAGATGACAAATACATGATTTCCTAATGTTTTAAATTTTAAATGTGTATTTTATATGTATCTGTGCTCTAATTTTTCAAATATATTGGATTCATCTTAAATAAATTTTTCATAATAAATCAAAATATCTTTATAAAATTCTGGATTATTTTTAGCTTTGATTAATAAGTCATTTTGTCATGGCTTTGGCATAATTTGTTGTCTTCAACGACAATTTGGATTTTATACCCATAGTTATACTGGTCCCAAACAATTTTTGCACTGTAAGAACACTGTATACCCAATTAGAAAGAAATCCAGGAATAACAAATCAACCTCTTATATCAAGAAAGTACATCATTCTTAGTCCCTCCAATCATACGAAATCTATAACAAACTGTTATGAATGACATCGTAATAGGAAAATATATCAGGTGGATGTTACTGCACATCATTCTGCTGTCAAATGTTTCGAAAAGAAACAAAAAATATCCTTTCATTGAGTTTTGGTTTAAAAAAAATAGTAAAGCTGGAGAGATGGTTCAGCGGTTAAGAGTGCTGATTTCTCTTGCAGAGGACCTGGGTTTGATTCCCAGCACCCACATGGCAGCTAACAACCATCCATAAGTCCAGTTCCAGGGGATCCGATGCCCCCCTCTGATCTCTGCAGGCATTACACAATAGGGTGCACCTACCTACATGCAAGCAATGCACTTATACACATTAAATAAAATATTTTTTAAAGAAGTAGTAAAGTCAGGGATCCTTTTTTTAATTTAGAACTAGAAAAGCTCTAACATCTGACAAAATAACAATATCCTGCTTCTCTTGTTAACTGGTACTTAAAGTTAGCTCAAGGGCCCACGACCTATCCTGAGAGTAAGTCCTGTGCAGGGCTTGCTGTGACCATGCCAGTTCCCTGCAAGATCCCACATTTGGAATTGTTACTCTGTAGTTTAACTCTGAAGATAAGGAGATCATCTCCCTTCAGGTCACTAAGCACTGACCATTTTTCCTGTCAAGCCACAGAAGCCCTGAAGTACAATTCAATCATGGCAGCTTTCCCTTGCAGGTGAAATGATCCAGTCAATATTCTCCTTATAAATATTTCTAATGATGCTGAACTCAGATTCTACACTGACTCACTCACTCATTTCAAACACAAGTTCCAGCTGCTACCTAAGAGATAAGTTGATAAAACTTTAGGCTCTCTGGACACAGAAACAAGTTTAAAAACAAAAAAAAAAATGTGTTGACTAGAGATGTACCCCAGAGCCAGTACACGTCATTGTGGACTTGACTTTCTGCATTTTAAGGATAGTGAGAACATGCTGCTCAGTGAAACAGCCCTGTTCCAAATGGTGTAGGACAGGAAAACAATCCCCAACCAAACAGTAACCAAAAAAGTGGAGTCTCCCACCTAAAGGAAAAAAATATTAAAGAAATATTTGAGATTTTTGAATGATTGAAAATCACTGAATGCTCTCTTAAGACCAGCTCATAGCAGGCCAGATATAGAGCTGAACTCAAAAGCTAGCTCTATTATTCTGTATGCCCAGAGGCTAAATATTTAACTTTTCCCAGCCTCAACTTTCTCCACAATAAAATGCAAATGACATCATCAACCTCATTGGTTTGGGAGTATTACTAACTCAGTGTAGTTACATTTTTATCATAGTATCTGAAAGTAGCAAATATTTAACAAGTGGTTGCTGTCCACCCTCCTACACACACATACCTCTCCAGAATCCTATAGAATGAGCAAAGCAAGCCTTAAAAGTTGGAAAGTGAAGAAAATGAGTCAGAGGAGCCAGATGTAGTGTGGCCACCTATATAATCGTTGGGAAGTTGAAGCAGTAGGATCATGAGTTCTAGGGCAGCCTGGGCTACACAGTAATTTGAGGCAAGTCTAGATTATACAGCAAAACCCTGTCTAAGAAGGAGCAGAAGGGGAGAAAGGCGGGCTGAGAGGAGGGAGAGAAGGGAAAGGGAAATGCCAAGGTCAAAGATGAAGAACTAGAAATGAAACATAGGCTCTATTATTTCTGAAAAAAAAAAACATAGCATAAACCAACTTACTCATTTGGAGAACAAGAAGCAATTGGAGAACAAGAAGCAATTGGTGAACAACTCAAGGAGCCCAAGTTAAGGTTACCTATGAGATATTCAATCATCTGGTGTCAAGGATACCAAATAAATCTATTATATTGAGAAATTAGATCAAGTAACAGGTTAACAAGCCAATTCCCAACATTCTAGATAAATCCTTACGTTAGTGGCTCAGAAGGATGTCAGATTCAGGAGATCGCTGGGGAAGGCAATGAGACTTTGAATCCATGTTCTGAAAACAGAGGGCACCGTTCTGAGTCCTGAGTGGTGGGCAGGGTGGTTAAGGGTAAATATTTATAATCAAAACCTACGTTAGGGACCTACCGTAGAGTTCAAGGGAAGTCCCATAATATCCCAACCTTTGATTCAAGCTCCTGATGAACATATTATCAACTCTTCTATGACAGGAAATGACAGAATTTGAATTTTGTTCTTTTTGCTTATGTCCCTCTCCAATAATGAGAAGGACAGATAAAAGTCAACTAGCCTGAGTCATAACTGAAAAGTCACAGAAATGACAGAAACCAGGGTAACAGAAAAGTCAAGAGGCTACAAAATACATTTGCTCCTCAGCTATTTAAAGTCCCTATCTCTTGCCACTTTCTGCCTGACTTTATGCTTTCTTTAATTTTTAAGTGTTTTAGTTGTTGGTTTTTTTTTTTTTTTTTTTTTTTATTAGTATATGTGTGTACCCAGAGCTTGCTATAGTTCACAGGTAGAGGTCAGAAAACAACTTCCAGGAGTTGGTTCTCTCCTTCCACCTTGTTAAAGGAGGGTCTTTTGTTTATGCTGTACTTAAAGCTGCTTCTGTTAGGCTATTTTTTTTTAAATCATAGCAACAGAAAGGAAACCAAAATAGGTTTAGTGCTCTTACAAGAGGGACCACAAAGAGTTTCCTTTCTCCTTCTGCCATGTGAGTCTTCATCAAGGAGATGGTGTAACTGAACAAAGAAGCAAGCCTTCACAGGATGTCAAATCTGCAGATCTGAAGTTGATTTTCAACTTCCAGCCTCCAGAACTGTGAGGAATAAATTTCTGTTTTTTTTTCTAGCTTCCTAGCCAATGTTATATTTTACTAAGCCAAAAACTCTAAGACAAATTTTTATTTTTCTTACTAAGAGAGGCAGATTGGGAGTGCTATCTAGCCCTATTACCATATTTGCAAACACTTCCAGGCACAGGCCCTATTAAACACCCTGTGCTCTTGCCAGCCAGCGCTATCGATATTTTCCCCAAAGTTTCCAATTAAGACACTAAGAAGCATTCACTCATACCATGATGGCAAAGGCTTGAACTGAAAATAATCAAATTGAATGTTGGCTGTCATTCTCAATGCAAGAACTGAAATGATACCTACTTAAGTCATGGGAAGGAGGAAAAAAATTCACTATGCTAAGAGAAACAAAAAACTGAAGTTGCAAGAAAAAAGCACAGGGGAGTTGAGGACGGAGGCGCACACTTGTAAGCTCAGCATTGGGAGGCTGAGGCAGGTGGATTGTTGTGAATGAAAGACCAGCCTGAGCTTCAGAGTGAGATCCTGTCTCAGGTAAACTAAATCAATCGACAACGAGAGAGAGAGAGAGAGAGAGAGAGAGAGAGAGAGAGAGAGAGAGTCAAAAGATATTATGAATGATAGAGTTTCTAAAAGTTCCATTCCCTGGATTGTTGTCACACTTTTGGTCCTGCTTGATGGCTGAGAATTTTCCTTTCGAGAGACTTCTTTATAGAAATCAAGCTGGTACTGACTTCAAAGCTTCATTTCTACTACTGGCTAGTTGTCACAATGCTGAAGGTGCTATGCATGCTATTAGAAGAGAAAATTATCCATCAACCTTACCCAGCTATGAATTCTGCAAGCTAAACATAACTGGCCTGGCAAGATAGGCCCACTGGAGTAATAGTGGTATGAATTTTATGGTAATAATCAATCTTTCTAATTGGATTTAAAGTCTGCTTCATAAGATGGAGTCCATACCTAACACTGGTATCAGGCCTAGGAACATGTGGCTAGACAGGTCATAGGCCATAGGGGAGAGTCTAATACTATTATTCTGCTAAACAGATACAGTATTAAACTGACTCCTAATGACATACCCATAGATTAACACATCTCTCAACTCTCACCAGCGAAGCTCCCTTAAGAGCAGATGGTGATTAACACAGAAACCTGCAACTGGCCAACACACTGAGAGTAAGAGGCTATAGAGTGTTTATCCCTGAAACTTGAGAAACTTTTTGTTGTGAGTGCCTCTCATAAATTATCCTTTATCAATAAAAATGTCAACCACTGCCATCCAAAATGCTTTTAGAAAAAACTTTGTTGTCTTTCCTATATGTCTGGATAAGGTCATCTAAGCCTCTGTCCTCCAGCTGAGGCAAAGTTTCCATCAGCAAGGATTAAATATAGCACTGAAACTCTGATCCCTGTTCCCAAGTCATCATTCTCTCCCCAATTTGCAATGGTCAGTTACCCTATTGGACAGCTTCCAAAACAACACAGACATTTGCATAAACTTGATACAATTACATAGAGATGGGATTTTTCAAATTACACTATTTCCTGGGGGACATGGGGTACATGCCAGAGAGCTTATATAGAAGTTAGAGGACAATTTGCAGGTGTCAGTTCTCTCCTTCCCTGCAGGGGTCCCCAGGATGGAACTCTGATCAGAAGGCTTGGCAACAAGTGCCTTTACCCACTGAACCATCTTGCCAAGTCCAGATGGAAAAATTTAAACCTAAAACCCTTTTTTGGGGGGTGGAGGGGTTGATACAGGATCTTCCTGTAGCCCCAGCTAGCCTGTAACTTGACCAGGTTGGCCTCAAATAGAAGTCTGCCTATCTC